GACACCCCCAAAAGCCTGGGGGGGCATTTTGGGGGTCTCAAAGGGCTCCATTGGGTACCAAGATGCTCCCAAAACCTCGGAAGGGCAACGTGAGGGCATCCCAAAAAGCACAGGGTGGGGGGGTAGGAGAATTTCAGCCTCCCCAAAAGCTTTTTTGGGGGGGTTGTTTATTTGGAGGGGGGGAAGGGGGGGTGCTTATTTTGGGTGGGGGGGGTCTGACCTCCTGCTGCAGACGCTTGGCACGCCTCCCATAGGTGTTGAACTTGGAGGGCTGCACGGACTGCCGCAGAGGGATGCTGTGGGGTTTGTATTCACGGTCCTTCTCCTCGCTGTCGAAGGGCCGAGCGGTGCACTGCTGGGGGGGGAGGAGAAAAGAGAGGTGAGGGATCCCCCCCCCCAACTCCAGAAACCCCAAAAATCATTTAGAGGGGGGTGGGCAGCACCCCGAAAGCTTGAGGTTGGGTATTTATGGGGTGGGGGTAACGGTGGCTGGAGGATTTGAACTGTTTGTTCAGCTCGATGAATGGGGGCAGAACCCCATCATTCATACCCTGTATCTATGGGAGAGCAATGGCACCCCAAAATCCTCATCCTATACCTACAAGGGGTCAATGTCACCTCAAAATCCCCATCCTATATCTACTAGGCACCAATGGCACCCCAAAATCCTCATCCTTTATATACTGGGGGTCAATGTCACCCCCAAATCCCCACCCTATATCTACTAGGTGTCAATGGCACCCCAAAATCCTCATCCTATACCTACTAGGGGTCAATGTCACCCCCAAATCCACACCCTGTATCTACTAGGGGTAAATGTCACCCCAAAATCCTCATCCTATACCTACTGGGGGTCAAGATCACCCCAAAATCCCCACCCAGCACCTTAGGGGAGCAGCGTCACCCCATTAATTCCCACCCCGTATCTCCTAAAGGGGGGGGGTCAAGGTCGCCCCCAAATTCTCATCCTATATCTACTAGAGATCAATGTCACCCCCAAATCCTCATCCTTTATCTACTGGGGGCCAACATCCCCCCCAAATCCCCACCCTACACCTTCTATAGGGCCAACACCCCAACTATATCCCCACCCTACACCTTCTACAGGGCCAACATCCCCCCAAATCCCCGCCCTACACCTTCTATA